TATGTAAAAATAGAGAGAGAGAGAGAGGCATGGGTGTGTCACTAAGTTGCACTGACAAAATACGTAAAGCTCGCACACAACTTGCGTATCTTGCGAACACAAGTTAGAAGTCGTGCATGCGTCTCGTAACTCAATATCATGCCGGCTTCTGGGTTCTGTATTTATTTAGGTGGTTCAGTCAGTAATATGAGCTCCCAGTTTGGAGCAGATGGCAGCACGGCTGGACTAAAGGGCGAGATGCAGCTGCCCTTCACCAAGGTTAACTGCTACATATTACACAGTCCATGAAATGATAACTCTCAAGTCGCCCATACTGCACCAAATTGCAGTGATTCAGAATCTTTTGGAACTAGTGAAAAATAACTTACCGGTAAATATCACAAGGGGAATGTTTTGGAAGAAATGCACTGGACAGCTTTGTGTCTGAAATTATTGCCGACCGTGCCTTGTCTGCATTTCACAGCTTGAAGTGTCCTTGATCCAATTTATGTACTATGAATGAATGCATTTTTATTATTTTCAAATTATCAGAGAAAATCTTTTTTAATGTTCCACACTCCATTTTTAGATTGCAGTGATGTACTGAGCAGAGGATTACACATTGGCAAGGTTTCCATATCGGAGAACTCTGTGAATGTGGCTCAACTTCCCGTCGCCAATTTTAGTTTGTCATTCTTTAGACCAGAAAGGTTTCGAAAGAATCAACAGCATCTCTGCTGGTTGTAGCCAAAGAGTACACTCAGTTTAACCTCAAATGCTTCAAGACACGATGAATTAACAATACACTCCACACAATCGTCTGAATTCTTGACTATTCATTAATTTATTTTTAATGAACTAATTTTACATAGGTTTGACAATCCAATTAAAAGTATAAGAAATGAGACATAATCCCATCAAGGATTTTATTTTTTTTTAAATGGAATTGAGGGACAATTGATAATGCATCCATGCGTCAGGAACAAAATTCTGCAATCTGAGCCCAATATCATTACTTTTGACAAAGCATTCCCCTAAGACTATAATCCTTACACCCCCACACTTCTTTCCACCAGTTCCACATCGATACCTTGCCTGCCAAAGTCTTCTGAATTTAAAACTCGCTTTTCTGCTCTCAGCTCATCCACCAGACTGTTGCCTTAATGAGATGCATTTTAATTTAAATTTCATCCCTCTGCTTTAACCCCCACATGTCCCCTGCACTTCCTGACACTTTTTGTTTTACATATGTTCTATATTGATGCACTCCGAATGCATTTATAAGAACACCATGAAGCTCTCAGGCAGATTGGTCTTTAAAATTGTTTTTTTTTTTAAATTGTATTTTACGCTCCTTGTTGAATTGAAATACCAAAAAGAGAATCAACTGACAATGCAAAATATGACTTTATGTCAGATGCACCCCAAAAGGTGTCAATTCATTTCAGGGTTATAGTGTGCAACAGTATAATTCATTTAGTTGCACACTTTAAAATAATGTTCACAATTATCCAAACAAAGTTTCTCTTGTGCAGCTTTCCTAAATTCTGCCTTTGCTTGGCTAAATGTATTTACTTCTTTATTTCATACTGTAACTATCTGATAAAATCTGACGATTCAATGTCTGCAATCTCAAGTCTTTGTACATGACAGGACACAAATTATTGAAGAATTATGAAGGGTACCCTTGACATTTGTCTGTCTATGCTTAGCTAACTGCAGTCATTTACCAGTACACAAAGGAATGAAGCTTGTGCAAATTGTAATTGTTAGCGAATTACATAACTGTCCTGCTTCCGAGTTCATGTTTGATAATATATCAAAATGTCTTTCAATTTATATTCATGAATTTTATAGATTTTTAAACAAGAATGAAATTAATAGGGTGACCGGGCATCTAAGGGAGATTTGACATTCATGGTGTCTGATGAGAACACAAAATACACAACTCACTAAATTCAATATTCCGTCAAACTGCCCAATGATCAGTTGATCAGTCAGATCATCAGTCGGGAAAGAAAAACAAAACAAAACAAAACAAAACACGGTCCCTCCACCCGCAAGAACATGTTACAACTGTATTTTCAGCACTATAAGGCGCTTCAGAGTATAAGGCGCACCTTCAATGAATGGCCCATTTCAAAACTGTTTTTATATACAAGACGCACTGCATTATAAGGCGCATAGAATGAATAGAAGCTACAATAGTGGCTGCGGTTGCATTATGCATCCACTAGATGCTACGCTAAAGGGAATACAATACAACTTTATTTATATCGAGCTTTCACAACCGCTGCAGCTGTAACAAAGCACTTTAGAGGACATTTAAATATACTACGTCCAAGAAACCAGAATATTGATCCATATATGAGGCGCATCGGATTATAAGGCACACCGTCAGCTTTTGAGAAAATCGAATGCTTTTAGGTGCGCCTGAGAGTGTGAAAAATACAGCACTTTAGCACTACTTCTCAATATTTATTATAATTCTTATTCATTCACTAACTGTATCCTGATGGTTTTTCTTGAATGTTCTTTTATGAAGTGGTCATTGAAAGCGGATTCCAAGGCTAAACCATCCACTTTGTCGAACCGAGTGATGGTTTTTAGCTTCCCTTTTTAATAGTGTCAACGCACATGGAGACCAAGGGGACACCGCCTGACAGGGCATAGGAGTGTCGACACCGGAGGATATGGCATCAGCCTATCTGTCTGAGTAGTTTGCCCTTCACATAGTCAAAACAGATGAGCTCAGCAAGGCAGGGATATGTCAGGGGATCATGTTTGGAGGACACAGCACAGAACTAGGAAATAAAGGTAAGGAAGGAGTTGCGTTTCCTCATGAAAAATTCACGACTTGCTAAAAACAACACGGCATGTTGTTGTGTTCACTATCAAACTGTTTTTTGCAAAGTTATGCTGTGCAAAGTAAGCAATAAAGTCGTAAAAGTAAAGACTGCAAATAATATCAGCACTGCAATAGTGATGCAGTTTGCACGCTTTGTCAATTAAGCATGGGGTGTGGATACTGTGGCAGGAGATAAAGTATTTGGTAAGTGGCTACAAGGAATTTATTCAACATTTGAAAACAAGTGCATCACATTTTTTTAACGAGAAGTACAATAATTTAATTTAAAAACTAATAAAGTGATGATGAGGCTTTTGCTTCGGCTACAGAAAAACTTATATTTCATTCGATGACAATTTTGTATCCACCGACAACAAAAAAAAAAGTATTCAAATATTAGATGAAATAACAATTTAGCAATCTCATATCTGTCTAGATCAGCAAAAATCCTCTGATTCAAGTATAATTGGACTAGCTGGCTGCTTGGATGACAAACTTGGGCTGGGCTAGCACAGAGACAGGGAGTCTGACTGACATACACGCAGAAATTAATTCAAACACAGCAGTGTGAGGAATATGAAACAAAAGTTGTTTCCACACACAAATTGAACAATTGAAGCAATGTTTTTGTATTAAAAACAAAATGTCTGTCCCAGGTGGGCCGTTGCTCGCTGCCCCAAATGTAGAATCACAACTGAACAAGTATAAAGGTTTATGTGAATCCGTTTTTTATTATATATTTATAGTAACTGAAACTGCAAATGCAACATCAGTGCTCTCATCGACAAGTCATCCAATGCATCTTTAAGGTGCTTGGAAAGTGCGGTACTGATGGTTGCCAGACACTCTGAATGGAAGGTATGATGGTTGTCTGCAACACTGTTTTCTACACAGTTCTCCTGAAAGAATTATTTATATACTAGCGATTTATTGTGATTGTGTTCAGCTTGATTTTTCCTGTTTCAGACAATTTTTGTTTTTTTCCGCTTCAAAAAGAGATGTTTAAAGTAATGAGGCCCTGCCCCCAAAAAGACTGAGAATCCTTGTAAAAATACTAATGAATAAAAACAAAGCTTTTAGGAATAGTCTGAATTATATAGAGAGAGCTAGCAACCAAGTGATCAAACCTGCTCTTTGTAACAATGCTGAGCAACAGCTTTCAGCATTTGATGCCGCTTGTTCTCCTCTTTTATCCGACAAAGTTCTTCCTCGCACTCTTCTAGCAATGCTCTCAGCATTTTCGCACGATAATGACACTCACAACACTTGACACTCTCTCTTGTTCACATCTTAAGCTTGTTGCAGAAACAAATGCCAGATTCGTGTTCATCCATTCCAGGGTGGCAGCAGTGCTGCTAAATT